GGTCAAAATCCTGATAAGCAAAATCCCAACAGATCATAATTCTGACAAAAAAATCCCAATAGCAAAAATTCTGTTAGTGAACGTTTTAACGAATTTAGTTTAGTTTGACGACTTTAGTTTGACGATTTAGTTTAATAACTTGGGGGAAAAAATATTAAGAAAGTTATGTATACTTATTAATTTTATTGATATTAAATCAATAATCATACATGAAAAAAAAAATGAAATAAAATGAAAAACCTAAAAGAATGAATTAATTATTTCATGTGCTTCAAAAAAAAAATATGTACTGTACGTAAGGTACGTGTACGAATGAACGTAACTTGCGTACTCTAGGGTACGTACCCACATATATCAAAATACATAGTTATTTACACCTTAAAGCAAAAAAATAGGTGAACATATTAATTTCACACGAATGTGTAATAGTGTAATGGTGCGATAGTGTACTAGTTTTGTATATATATTAAACAATATTGAGTAAAATAAAATTTTTTAAAATTAATAAAATACAAATATATATCCTATAAAAGTAAATGGTAAAATAATAATAATAAATTAAAAAATAAAAATCTTTTAAAAAGCTTGGTTGTTTTTTTTTTGATGATGTGGTTTTTGATAGGATATAATAAAGGGAGGGATAAAATTGTATTAATTTATAAATACATGATCAGTTTTTTTTTAAAATTCTGCGCACATGAAGAATTTACTATAAAAAAAATGTTCAAGAATTTCTAAAATCTATTATTTAAAAATAATCAAATTTAAGAAGCATTGGCTTCTACAATTTTAGGTTTGTTTACACCTTTAATGAAACCGGTTTGGTCTTCATTTGACAATTCTTCTAATGTTTTACCCTTTGTTTCTGGTACACAGAAGTAAGTGACTATTAAACCGGATAACATAAAAACGGCAAAGATTTGGAATAAATGATTTATGAATGCATTTTTGCCAGGTTCGCCTCCAATATCTTTTAATTTGAAGAATCCGACTTGTGAAATGATGGCACCCAATTTTCCAGCGGCGGCACTAATTCCATGCCCGGTTGAACGGTAACGGGTTGGAAATACTTCACCGGGTACAACAAATGTAGTTGCATTGGGACCAAAGTTGAAGAAGAACTGAAAGAAAAAAAAAGATTTCGTAAAAAAAAAATGTAAAAAAAAATATTATATATATATAATTATATATGTATTTAAAATAAGACTTACTTGAGCTATTGTGAAGAAAATGATAAAAAGCCAAGTAATTTCCTTAATTTGATTGTAAGCAAAACCGAGGATAATGAATATAACAGTAAGAGGTTAAAGAAATTAAAGAACACATTAGTGAAGTTAAAATTGAGAGTGATTATGACAAGAAACGTCGCGAAGCT